GAGACAGAGAGGAGAGAGAGAGAGAGGAAGAGAGAGAGAGAGAGAGAGAGAGGACGAGGAGAGACGAGAGAAGGAAAGGGAAGTTTGAGAAAACAAGAGAAATAAGAAAAAAAGAGCCAGGAGAAAAAAAAAAAACGGAAAAGAAAAAAACAAAGGAGAAAAACGAGAAGAAACATCCGGCAGAGACAGACCAATCACATCGAAGCACAGACAGAGAACAGCCAACTCGAAAGAAAAAAAAATCAAACAAATCGGAGAACTACAGCAGAACAATAACAGGACAATAACAGGAACCGCCAGTTAGCAGTGCCAAACCCACGGTGGTTGCCATAGACGTGCCACTGCACCGGGGGAACCATTATGCCGCGAGGGAGAGGGAGCCTATGCACAGAAAACCAACCACGGACGTCGCCTCTTTTTCAACAGAAGCCCTGGCCCTGAAGGAATTACACGGTGCTGAGAGAGGGCTAGGGAAAAGGGGAAGAAGAGGGAGAGAGAGAGAGAGAGAGAGGGTAGAGACGAGATGAGAGAGAAAGAGAGGAGAGAGGAGGGACTGAGGAGATAGGAGGAAGGGAGAGATAGATGAGGAGGAAAGATGAGAGAGAGAGAGAGCAAGAGAGAGATGAGAGAGCTAGACAGTCCGTCCAGATTCAGACAACAGACAATACATAAAAACAGAAAAAGAGAGAATCAAGCTGACGAGCAGAAAAGAGGAAGGAAGAGAGATGATGAGAGACGAGAGAGAGAGAGCTGAGAGAGAGTGAGAGAGAGAGAGAAGACGACCAGAGACAGAGGGAGAGAAGGAGAGGAGACGAGAACGAGAAGAGAGAGGAAAAGAAAGACAAGAAAAGAAAGAACAGAGAAAGAGGAGAACCAGAGCAAAAAGAGAAAAGATCAGACTCAGACTATAAGCAAGAGCATGATGACAGAGAAAGGAAATGATTGTGGCGCCCTGACTCATGTTACCAGTTTTAAAGACACGATGCGACACAATCATTTACTTAAAACTTGATCCAGTTAGATGAAGTCTGAACGGAGCGGCATCACAGCAAGCCCTCGTGTTCTGTTTGTGTTCTGTTGTCTGTCTGTTTGTTTGTTAGAAGATTCATCCGTTCTGAGCGTTGTTAAGTCTTCGAAGAGGGAGAGGAGAGGAAGAGGGAAAGAGAGGAGAGGGAAGGAGGATCGGGGAGGTGAGGGAAAGGATGAAGTAAGATAGGGAGGGGGAAGGAGAGATGGGGTTAAGGGAGATGGGAGTGACAGCTGAGAGGGAGGGAGTGAGGGAGGAGGGAGGGAGGAGGAGAGGAGGGGAGGAGGAGAGAGGGGGAGGAGAAAGGAATGAGAGAAGGAGGCCATGGAAGATAAACACAAACCGATAACCGATCTGCAGACACACAGATAACACGAGAAACCACGAGGAAACACGCGACAAGCAAGCAAAGGAAATCGAACTAGGAACTCCGCGTATATTAGCGGCTTGTGTTTGCTCTCTCCTTCCTTTCTCCCTCTCCTCCTCCTCCTCCTCCTCCTCTCCTTACCCCTCCTCTTCCTCCTCCTCTCTCCCTCCTCTCCCTCCTCCCCTCCCCCCCCCGCATCCCTCACCCTCCTCCTCCTCCTTCCCTTCCTCCTCCTCCTCCGTTCCTCTCCTTCCCTCGTCCAACCCTCCTCCCACCAGCTCCTCCTCCCTCTCCCGGCATCCTCCTCCCTCCTCTTTTTCCCTGACTTCTTTCTCCTTTCTCCTCCTCCTCCTCTTCCCTCCCTCCTTCCTCTCCCTCCCACCTTCCCCTTTTCTCCTCCTCCTCCTCCTCACATCAGCTGCCTCGGCCCCCACCCACTTCCTCAAAAGCAAATTACTGATCCTCCGAAACTCCGGCGGGCTAACTCAGAACAATCTGTGTACACTGACCGATCCATCGTCGAGAAATGAATAAAAAAGTGGGGGGGAGGGAGGAGGAGGGGAGGCGGGAGGCGGGGAAGGAGGGAGGTTGGTTTGATGACCTTTTGCTAACCTCGTTGAAGCTCTCGATGACGGTTGTATTCATTGATTGGGGTCGAACGCCCATTAAGGAGGGATTTTTACTTCGTTCTGTGTCTGTTCCCATTGTCTTTATTCTCTTCACTCTGGGAGCCTTCTCTCATCTCGTTGTACCCCTCTCATCTTTCTTCTACTCCCTCCGTTTCTTCTCCTCTCTTGCTCCTTCACCTCCCCCCCTCCACTCTCTCTCGGATCTATCCTTTTCCTACTTCCACCCCTTCCCCTCCCCACTCCCTCCCCCCACCCTCCTTATCCCCTCCCCTCTCTTACCAACCCCCCCTTCCCCCTCCCTCCTTTCCCCCCCCCCCCCCCCCCCCCCCCCCCCCCCCCCCCCCCCTTCCCCCCCCCCCCCCCCCCCCCACCCCCCCCCCCCCCCCACCCCCCCCACCCCCCCCCACCCCCCCCCCCCCCGACCCCCCCCCCCCTCTACCCACGCCCTACTCCCCCCCCCCCCCCCCCCCCCCCCCCCCCCCACCTCCCCCCCCCCCCCCCCCTCCCCGCCACCCCCCCCGTTCCCTCACACCCCCCCCCCCCCCCCCCCCCCCCCCTCCCCCCCCCCCCCCCCCCCCCTCCCACCCCCCCCCCCCCCCCCCGTCCCCCCCCCCCCCCCCCCCCCCCCCCCCCCCCCCCCCCCCCCCCCCCCCCCCCCCCCCCCCCCCCCCCCCCCCCCCCTCCCCCCCCCCCCCCCCCTCCCCCCCCCCCCACCCCCCTCTCCCCCCCCCCCCCCCCCCCGCCTCCCCCCACCCCCTCCCCCCCCCGCCCCCCCCCCCCCCCCCCCCCCCCCCCCCCCCCCCCCCACCCATACCACCCCCCCCCCCCCCCCCCCCCCCCCCCCCCCCCCCCCCCCACCCCCCCACCCCCCGCCCCCCCCCCCCCCCCCCCCCCCCCCTCCCCCCCCCCCCCCCCCCCCGCCCCCCCCCCCCCCCGCCCCCTCCACCCCCCCCCCCGCCCCCCTTTCGCCCCCCCCCCTCCCCCCCCCCCCCCC